CCTCTGGGTTTGAGTGCCACCCAGCACTTGATGACTAGAAAATGTGTCTTCATAACATGGCGGTGTATGTTGAGTATGTAAGTTGATTATCCATACCCACCAAAACATAAATCCTGACAGCGCAGGCCAGGGACAGGCAGGAAGAGCAGGAGACGTTCCTGGTCAACCGCGTGATCAGGAGAAAGTTGGAGTGTCTGCTATCACTATCCGTAGCTCCAGGCAACAACATGCATGTAAAAGTGCCTGTTGCCACAGCAACACGGACTCCCTGAATGTAACACACACATTAATTATTGAACTTCCCCTTAAATACATCCAAATACTCATCTGAGCTACTCCCTGTCATGACAATTTCCACAGCCTAGCTACTGTCTGCCTACACAAGCTTTTCTCACATGTCTGTGTTTTATTAATGACTGTGTTAGATTTCATGACACCTCCTCCCAGTTTTGAACTTACCCACAAATGGAAACATCTTCTACACATCTACTCCATCAATCCCTAAACTGCATGTTAATGACTTCTACGTGATTATCCCTCTAACCTTCTCATTTCTGGAGAGAAGAGCCTGTTCAGTTGTTTTTTTTAACCAGATAACTGTATCCCCTGTTAGCACCCTGTGCAAATCTTTTTTTTATGCACATTCTACAGTTTCCTGCACTACAGACACCAGAACTGGTCACTGAACTTCAACTGTGGAGTCAAGGTTCAATGCAATGTTAAGATTTAGTGAAGAACTCAAAAATCTTTTCTTCAGAACCACAAATGTTATTTAACCAGACCTCCCTTCTCTCTTTCAACTATTTTGCTCCAGTATTTTTTGTTATGGTCCTCCTACAGTGGACCCATATACTGTACACCAACTACAGTGTATTTTCTCAAACATGGCAACACTCACCTTTATAGACTGGAATGCACAGCTCTGATACCAAGTCATTCCCTCTCAGGGTTTTTATAGCTCACACTTTAAGCAGAGTCAATTGCAGAGACCTGCATTCATCAAACCCCTAGCTCAGCAGCAGGGGAGGGGATTCATCAAGAGTTTATTGTGTTCACAACAATGTCATGATCTATAGTTAACAGAGGAAAGCATGAAGAATACTGCAAGCACATCATTTCAGTAAAAATAACTTTAGCATTAACCGTTGACCCAGCAACTTACTACACAGCACCTACGGCTTGAGTCCAACTCTTCAACAGCGAGTTACCGAACCTGACGCTGTGCCCAATATCACAGAGATCAAATACAGTGGGATTGTTTACCAACTTGCCATATGGGCATTCTCGGTCAGCTGCCCATTGTTAAATCTGAAGCCAATGCTGGTGATCACTGAAATATTTCCACAGCGTACAGCTGGCCAGCAGCGCCAATTCTTAGACTGTGGTGATAAGTTGAAAATTTATTCTGGTTCCTCTCTGAACCACCTAAGGGTCGGCTACCTCATTGTAGATTGAGCAGAGCAGTCTGTTCTGTGGAACTCAATATAACATTGGGCAACGTTGTTTGTCAATGGAGGAGCCATTGCATTGGACATATATTAAATTCTCAGGTTATCATCATTTGGACGGCACAGTGGTTCACTGGTTAGCAGTGCTGCTTCACAGCACTAGGGACTCTAGATTCGACTCCACCATCAGGCAAATGTCTGTGTGCAGTTTGCACATTCTCCCTATGTCTGCGTGGGTTTCTTCCCACAGTCAAAAGATGTGTAGGTTAGGTGGGTTGGCCATTCTAAATTGCCCATAGCGTCCAGGGATGTGCAGGCTAGGTGGGTTAACCATGGGAACTGCAGGGATAGAATAGGGGGTGGGTCCGGGTGGGATGCTCTTTGGAGGGTTGGTGTGGACATGATGGGCCAAATGGCCTCCTTCCACACTGTAGGGATTCTGTAATTTGGCATTCTGCTGGCGTTAAGAGAAAGATGTGACTTCCGGTTGTCTCAAATAGTGTTCCAGCCAATTAGGTCCTTGATGAAGTATAGCTACTGTCAGAAATGAGTAAGCCTATTTGCTCACTGCAAGCCCCCACAGATTGTCATGGTGACGATTAAATCCTCTCTATTTGAGAGTTGGCTCAGGGATAAATATTGGTAAGGAACATGGTGGGGGAGCTCTCCCACTTTTCTATGAATTGGTGTCATGGAACCTCTTACATTCACCCAAGAGCCAGGTAGACATGTCCGTTGTTTAAAGTCTGATCTAAAAGAAGATAGCACTGGCAGTGTAGCTGTCCCTCAGTATGGCAAGCCTAGGTTTTGTGCTCATGCACTACATTTGAACCCAAATGTTTTGACTCAGAAACCAGGGTGATACCAACTTGAATCCATCCTTACCAATCATTTCACAGCAAATTGGTTTGGAAAGTACCATGGCAAGATGGCTTTCTTTGTCTTGATGTCACATCACATTTCCCTCCTCCATCGTCAGGACAAACCTCTATTTGGTGTTAAATATCAGGATCATCCAGCTTTCACAACCACTAATAAAATATTTCAGTGTGTTCCTGAGCGTGACACACAGGCTGTACCGTGGTGAACATAGCATCCATAGATTCACTCTAACATTTCCCCTCAAAGATCATTACAATACTGCAAACTACAATTCAACAAACAAGACTGTGGCAGTAAAAGAGAATCCTACAAAATATGAATGTGTGATGTGTGAAGTAGGTTTTGAGTTGTACAATGCGAACAAAGCACAACATTGCACTTACCTTATGATATTAGCTTATTACCAGATCTTTCTTCTCCTTAATTTCTATCATGTCTCCTTCACTGTGAAAGCTGAAAGTCAAACCAGAAAACATTTTTAAGTAAATGACTAAGTATTCATTACAATTCTGAAGGTTACATTTTGGTGGTTATTGTTCCCAATGTTAAATGCTCTGTCCCAAATATCACTTTCAGTCCTTGCATTTTGATTATATTAGGAGTCATTCCCTCAGATTCGTTTCTTTTCTGCTGGATTTCTAACCTATCGATTCTCTTTCTTTCCTCAGCTCTCCCTGTCCCCAAAATCTAATAGGTTTTAAAATCCAAATCTCATCTTCCTGTGAAATAACTCCAGAGGCTGGTATCCCGTCACCAAGTCACCCTTTATTTACACGTGCACAGTACATGACACTAACCCAGCTAGCACAGAGCTGACCGCAAGGGTGAAGAGAACCCCTGATACCCCTGTTTATATCTGTCAGCCAGGGCTCCCTGATTGGACCTGGTTAACTGCCCCAATCAGGGAACTCATATTCTATGAGGTCCACCTGGCTGACCTTGATCTAGTTACTACATTCCTCCCCCCTCTAAGCCCTGAGATGTAGACCCGTTCTTTTTCTTGTAGCTTCTCCTGGGGTGATTTCACACCAGGTTCAGTTCTTCCGACTCTGCCTCGGGTATGGGTGTTGCATACTGGACTGTAGCCCAGCTCTTGTGCCCAGACCGTCTCAGAAGCAATTAATCTTCTTCAGGCGATAGTGTTGCTAAGGCTGTGGCATCTGCTGTGTCCATCTCATCTCAGAGGTTTCTCTGATGCTAGGCGGAGGTGGGGGAGAGAACCCATGAGTTCCAACAGCCTTGCCGGATGTTCTGAGGGGCTGGGTGTGTTTAGCTTCTGCCCTGTTTGCGAGGTCGCAGCTTTCATTAGGGTCCACCTGCTTGTTCAGGACCGCCTCACCTCCTTGAACTTTGTATGTCACGGGACCTAACATTGCATTGACCATGCGTCTTACACATGCAGGGCCATTCTAGTGGTTTTGGCACCAAACGTTGCCCCCTGAAGTAAACTGTCTCTGTCGCTTAGAGAGTCTTGTGTCCGGCATTGGCGTTCCTGATGCTGTTTCACCCTCCCACCCAGGTCCGGGAAGATCATATTTAACCTGATGCAGAGTCTTCTCCCCATTAGCAACTCTGCTGGAGCTATCCCTGTAGCTGCATGAGGGGTGGTCCTATAATCAAATAGGAACTGGGACAGTTTGGTATCGAGAGAAGCTGCAGGCTGTTTCTTTAACCCAGTCTTCAAAGTTTGGACTGCTTTTTGTGCCAGGCCATTGCATGTTGGATTGTATGGAGTTGTCCTTACATGCCTAATGCCATCCGACTTTAAGAAATACTCAAATTCTCTGCTGGTAAATGATGGCCCATTGTCTGTGACCAATACATCTGGGAGTCTGTGTATTGTAAAAGGTGCTTGCAGCATTTCAATCACACCCCTGTGTTTAACGAATGAACTCTATGCATGTCCAACCACTTTGAATGGGCATCCACAATGACTAAGAGCATAGAACCCATGAAAGGACCTGCATAGTCGATGTGTAACCGAGTCCAGGGTTTACCTGGCCATTCCCACGAATGTTGGGGAGCTGCTAGAGGTAATTTTTGTCCTTGTTGGCACTCTGGGCACTGTCCCACCAACACAGCTATGTCTGCATCCAATCCTGGCCACCAGAAATAACTTCTCACCAGCATCTTCATTTTGGAAACCCCATGGATGACCCTAGTGGAGTTCAGCCAGTATCTGGCAGAGACCTCTGCTGGGGTCAATCCCTCTTGCTTGCCATAATAAAATGCTGTCCTCAATGGTGATCTAGTCTCTCTGGGTTCAAGAAGGTTTCAGTCCTGGTTGTGATGGCCCTTTGGTTACCCCATCACCACCAGTTGTTTTAGTTTTGCCAGGACAGGATGTCTTTATGTCCATGTTCTGCTATTGTCAGTGTTGACCAGAAGGGTGTCCAGAAAGTTTAAAACCAGAACAGAGTCTTCCAGTGGAGGGACCACCGGTGGTGTATGCGTGAGAGGGAGACAGCTGAAGGCATCCGCTTTTGCCACTTGGCTTCTTGGACGGTGTTCCAACTTGTAATTGTAAGCACTTTGAATATGAGCCCACTGCTGTATTTGACCTGAAACTTTGGGCAGCACGGCCCTGTCCTCTTTAAGTAGGCCTAGTAGGGGTTTTGTTGTCTGTTATTATTACAAATTTACTTCTGTAAAGGTATTGGTGGAACTCACTCACACCAAAGATGACCGCCAAAACTTCCTGCTCGATCTGGGTGTATTTTCGTTCAGCATCAGTCAAAATCTGGAAGGCGTACGCTATTGGGCTTTCCTCTCTGCAGGGCCGCTGGTGAGCAAACACTATGCATGTCAGCACCACTCCTTGACTGGGATCGCAGTGGGCCAACATCTGAAACGACACTAACTGCTTCTTCACTTCCCTAAAGGCTACTTTGTGGCCATGAGACCATTTCCAAGGCTGACCCATTTTCACTCGCAGATGTAAGGGTGCCAGGATGTATGACCTTTTCATAATAATTCACCAATCCTGAGCTCTGGTACAATCTGCTTTGATTGCTCTCACTTTATGTTCCAGCGGCTGTAATCCGGTTTTGTCAACGCTGTAACCCGGGTATGTCACTTCGGACACTTGGAACATACATATTTCTCTTCTAAAGCATACACCCGCCTGAGAGAAATGTCTAAGGACTTATGTCCAAGTTCTCCAAGTGCTCCTAATTGGTCTTCCCTGTTATTAGCACGTCATCAAGATAAATGCCGACCTGGGGTATACCTTGTAAAATGTTCTCCAACATCCACTGGAAAATGGAAAATGCCCCAAATGGCAGTCTCATATACTGGTACAAACGCTTATGGGTAATTATAGCATAGTTCTGGGAATCCTCATCTAACCGCAATTGCAAATATGCATGGCTCACGTGAAGGACAGCCCTCCCACCAGTTTTGTGCAGAAATCCTTGATGTGAGAGATTGGGTATTTATCCACCTGCTAAAAGTGATTTACCGTTTGTTTGAAATCCCCACACAAGCGAACATGACACGCCGGGCTTCACAATCGGTATGAATGGTGCTGCCCATTTCACAAACTGGACTAGTTTGATGATTCCTTCACTTTCCAGCCTCCTGATTTCTGCCTCTACTTTAGCACGTAAGACAAATGGCACTGGGTAGGCCTTGCTGAATTGTGAAATTTCTTCTTGGTCAACATGCAAGGTAGCCTTGGCCCCTTTGATGTTCCCAGAATTTCCTGAAAAACTTCCGGGTATTTAATTAAGACTTCATTCAGGCAGCCATTTTCTATTCCAAAAACGTTGAGCCAATCAAGGTGAATCTTTCTCAATCAATTTCGCCCCATCAAGCTTGGGCCCGAGCCTTTTACTACAATTAATGGTAACTGAACCAGCTTCTTCTCGTCAGAGACTGGTAATGAAGCTATACCCTTAATCTGTGAAGGTTCCCTGGTATAGGTTCTCACTCTAGCCAAGGTCTTACACCAATTTAAGGGTTGGAGTCCAAAGCGAATTTTGGTAAAGACTGCTTCTATAATCACTGATAACAGCCGTGCCGGTATCAACCTCCTTTTAGAAACGGGTGACCATTTAACCAGATGTTTAGTTTGATTGTTTCTGATCTGGATGCTGCCAAGCATTTCAACTGTACCAAGCCATCTGTAGGTGGACTTTTCAGGGTGTGCACTCTCCTGGATACCGTCCTATGAGTTCTTTTACTCAATTCCAGCCTACTGGGTCTCTTTAGCTGCCTCTAGTCCACATAGCAGCAAGAACTACAATGGCCTGCCTGGCTGGATCCTCGAGAAAATTTTAACCATTTGGCCAAGGCTTGGCTTTGTTTTAGGATTTTGCTGTGGGCTGACCTAGAATCTCTCTGTTCAGGATAATGTCCTGAGTGAGGCTATACAATTACCTTCACTCAAGTGGTGTTCCCCCAAGCTCAGTCAGATTGGTGAGAGTGTCCACTTCCATCGGAATACCCTGCAACTCATAAGATCCACTTGCTGCATTTTCCAACGATAAAGCCAGTTGTAGTGCCTGTTTGAAGGCCAGTTGAGCTTCAGCTAGTATGCGCTTTTACATGATCACATCATTAACTCCACATACCAAATGGTCTCTCAGCAGCTCGCTCAGGATTAAACCAAAATCACCTGTCTCTGCCAATCATCTTAACTTCACCAAGAAACCCGACCTGGATTCCCCAGGCTCTCGAACTGTTGAGTTAAAACGATAGCATCTCAAAATTAGAGGAGGCTTGGAGTCCTAATATTCCTTAGCTAAATTCATAACTCTTGAAAGGTTTTAGTATCTGGTGCCTGAGGAAATGCTAGGATCCTAATAACCAAAAAAGCTGCTGGTCCTCAAGCTTTCAGGAAAATTACTCCTTGCTTTTCATCTGCATCAATGTTATTTGTCCAGAAAAAAAAAACACATTCTTTTCACATACTGGTCCCAGTCTTCGATGGCAGGATTGAACAAGTAAAGCTTCCCAAATAACAGCAAGATGCCAGAAATGCTTACCTCAACTCAAAGAGGACTGTTGCGAGCCAATCTCTTCAAGGGCATATTTTTCTTTCATAACCACTAAAATAACTGTATGAAGTCCAGTATCCTGTCACCTTTTATATGCACGTGCATAGCACATGAAACTGACCCAGCTAGCATAGAGCTGGCTCCTGGGGTGAACAGAACCTCTGACACTCTTGTTTATATCTATCAGCCAGGGCTCCCTGATTGGACTAGGTTAAAATCCCCAGTCAGGAATCTCATATTCTATGAGGTCCACCTGACTGACCTCATTCTAATCAATACATATTACACTGTACATGATGACCCAAACAGCATCTCTGCCCTTCAATATATTTCCAAATTTTAAAATATTATAGTGTAGAAAAGGAAGACTTGCACTCATATAGCTTTTTTACAACCTCAAGATGTGCTAAAATACCTCGCAGATAATTGAGAACTGCTGGAGTGTGGTCACTGTTGTCCTGTTGGAAACATGGCAGCCAATTTGCCCGCAGTAAGCTCAAATTGACATTAATAGTCATGCAATAGTGATCAGATTATCAATTTTGGAGATGTTAACTGAACAATAAATATTCCTTTTAGTTGAAGGGTCAATAATAAGGGGGCATAATTTTCAAGTGAAAGGCAGGAGGTTTTGAGGGGATTTGAGTAAAATACTTTGACCCGGAGGTGGTGTGGGTCTAGGATGTGCTGCTCTGGAGGGTAGTTGAGGTGGAAAACCTCACAACCTTTACAAAGTACATGGATGAGCACTCGAAGGGTCATAACATTCAAGGAAATGGTCTAAGTGAAGGAAAGTGGGCCTAGTGTAAATATAGTGTACAGACTGGATGGGCCAAATAGCCTCTTCTGTACTGGATGAGTCTGAGATTCTATTGCTTTTCTTCATGGGTCCATGGGATCTTTTACGTCCATTTGTGAGGGTAAACATGATCTTAGTTAAAAGTCAGATCTGAAAGTTGCTGTCGCTGACAGTGCAGCACTCCCTCAGCAGTGCACTCGAGTGCCACATTTTATTCTGGAGTAATGTCTCTGGAGTGGGATTTCAATCCACAATTATCTGAGGCCGAGGTGAGAACATTGTTCACTGAGACATGTCTGGCACTGTATAGGTTAGAGAGTGATATATGTCAATGTGTGTTGTTTCCAATCATCAATATTGCTATTTGATGAACAAAATTCATTTGTCAGTCATTTTCATATTTTGTGTCGTGTCAGGGAACATGTAAATCACTTTTGAACCGAGCAATGTGCTTGCTTCAGCTCATAGTGAATTGGGCTTATTCCACCTGAATGCCTGGGAAAACAATTTGCTGGAATATGTGATGACCACTAAGTTTGGGCAGCAAACTCTGATGAGCTGTCAAATCTGTTGTCTGCATTCGTTTGAGAGCTGTACTTGCCAGCATATAAATTCAGCCCTCATTATCAGTTAGACATCACGTTCTGGCAGTGAGCACCTGATCCACAGGTAAGAGAGAAAAAGAAATAGAAAATGAGAAAGGGAGGGTAAGAGACAAGGAGAGAATGTAAGTGGAAAATCAAAATAGAAGGAGCATCATTAATGGAGGAAGCCTGAAGGGACAAGTCAATTAGGAGAAGTATAGACCAGATATTAAAAAATATGTTGGATCAATGGTGTTTTATTTTGAGAAGTTTAGTGAAGAACAATTTCTTTAGTACAGCACAAGATTGATGGAGATGAATTGGATATATTTCCATTACATTAGCTCTGGATTTCATAGAGCAATGGTTTGTAAAGAAATACAAAAAGCAGTTACATTTTTACATATTCAGATGTTATGCATTGTGAGGGAGCAAGTTATGAAATGCTGACTGGGGGAAACAGAGATGAGAAGGCCCGAGCACACAGAACAGGAAAAGTGTGAGATATGTTTAACTACAAATAGTTTGAGCAGAATATTGCTTATATATACAAAACGGAATATGTTTATCCAAGGATCTGCGTTTCTGATGACAAATAGGACAACTAGTTTGCTGATTGGAAATGAAGTTTCCAAATTTGCTCAGCTCAGTTTGAAGTCATTTGTTCTGTGAATTGATGTGTCGCCTGTTTCAGATATGAAGGTATTTACTCACTGTTTTAATTCAGTGTGTGCTTTTACTGTATTGGGACTTGGAACGGGCATCCCTTCCCTCCCTTGTTATCAACTCCATATCATACCTGACCATCCAGAATGTCTCAGACTACAAAGAGCACCGCTCAGGAAAAAGGCACTGCACCCACTGGTACTGCCCCTCCTCCTGGCTCCAAGAGCTTGAAGACCAGAGAACCTGGAGTGGGCAACTTCAAGGTAAGTGCAGCAACTGATGAATTAACTCCCCAACCTGGTCAAATGCAACAGGCAATAGGAACTGAAAGAAAGTTAACCTCACTGGGCTCAACAACACTCACTCCTCTTTAATCCAATTTAATTCTTTGTTACCATCTTCCTGAATCACATTTTATCACCATTCATAGATATAATTATCTACTGAATGCATTTAAATTGATTTCTGTATTAATGTGTTTCACAAGTGCATTAGCCTGCAGCCAGAAAAGAGTCTGCAATAATCTCTTTTTACAGTCTCGTTAGTGTTACCATCTTAACCAATGCCTTCTGGTATTTATATCTTTCTCACATTGATCAACTTTTCTCAACCAACTGACAGAAACTCTTTCAGAATCCTAAAAATGTTCAATCAAAGCACCTTCAAGTTATCCGCTTTTCCACAAAAAACCCCACCAAATTTCCTCAGTACTTACTAATATGTTCCCTCTTTTTGGAATTTCTGAATTGTTGGTGCTGTTCTTAACCACACAGGAACCTTCCTCATCGCAGCAATGGGAGGCAATGGCCAAGTGGTATTATCCCTGGACTGTTAATCCAGAGACCCAAATAACATTCTGGGGACCCAGGTTCTAATCCTGCCATGGCAGATGGTGGAATTTGAATTCATTAAAATGTCTGGAATTAAGAATCTAATAATGACCATTGCTGATTGTCGGGGGAAAAACCCATCTGGTCTAGCCTACATGTGACTCCAGGCCCACAGCAATGTGGTTGACTCTTAACTGCCCTCTGGGCAATTAGGGGTGGACAATAAATGCTGCCTAGCTGGTGACATGCTCATCCCATTAAAGAATAAAATGGGGGAAAAAAAACTAATAACAATCTGAGGATGGAAATGTGAAACATTTGCTTTGTCACTATTGGTGATGAGTATTTTTGGAATGCCTCAGCTGTGAGTGTCCTGTTACTTTGGGGTCTGGCCTGATTTCCTTGTTCTATATAGTGGGAGGAGGGAGCAGCACTGATGTGGGCAGCGCGGTGGCTCAGGTGTTAGCACTGCTGCCTCACAGCGCCAGGGACCTGGGTCCAATTCCATCCCCTGGGCAACCGTCTGTGTGGCGTTTGCACGTTCTGCGTGGGTTTCCTCCGGGTGCTCCGGTTTCCTCCCACAGTCACAAAGATGTGCAGGCTAGGTGGATTGGCCATGCTAAATTGCCCGTAGTGTTCAGGGATGTGTAGGGTAGATGGATTTACAATGGGAAATACAGGGTTATAAGGATACCGTAGAGGGTGTGTATGGGTGGCATGCTCTTCGGCAAGTTCGTGTGGATTCAATGGGCCAAATGGCCCGATTCCACCCTGCAGGGATTCTATGATAGTTCTCACAGATATCTGTAACAGTAACACCTTGTCTACCTTGCAGCTTCGTTGTACAGTGAAGCTTGGTAGTGTGACCTGACTTTGAATGATGTTTTCTCCCTTGTAACATTACAATTTACTAGAAATCTTTGAATGTGCTAGTCAATAGAATTCTTGCAAACAAAATAATATGAAGTGGAATATTGTGTATCCCGTGTCATTAGGCCTAAATGGCCCTAAACTTTCAAGTTGTTTTCTCTGTCTCCTGCAGTCACCTTGTTTGAAATCTGGGAGCAAGGTGGTGCTGTTCCTGGCATGCCCTCCTGCACTCTCTATCGAACTAGCATTGATCCTCCGGCTTGATGGTATTGGTTGAGTGGGGGATATGCCGGGCCATGAGGCTGCATATTGTGCTGGTGTAAAATTCTGCTGCTGTTGATAGTCCACAGTGCCTCATGGATGCCTAGTCTTGAGCTAAAGATATGTTCAAGGTTTAGCACAGTGATAGTGCCATTCAACATGATGGAGGGTATTCTCAACGTGAAGGTAGGAATTAGTAAGGTTAGGTCACATGGGATTCAGGGAAAGCTTGTCTATTGGATACAAAATTGGTTTGATGGTGGGAGACAGAGGGTGATGGTGGAGGATTGTTTTTTGGACTGGAGACTGTGACCAGCGGTGCTCCACAGGGATCAGTGCTGGATCCATGTTTGTTTGTCATTTTATACAAACAATTTCCATGAGAATTTAGGAGACGTGGTTAGTAAGTTTGTGGATGACACCAAAATCGGTGGTATAATCGACAGCAAAGGTTATCTAAGATTACAAAGACATCTTGATCAATTGGGTCAGTGGGCTGAGGAGTGGCAGATGGAGTTTAGTTTGGATAAATGCAAGGTATCACATTTTGGTAAAACAAACAAGGGCAGGACTTATACATGGTAAGCCCCTGGGTAATGTTGTAGAACAGAGAGACCTAGGGGTTCACGTACATATTTCTTTGAAATTTGCATCACACATTGCCAGGGTGGTTAAGAAGGCACTTAGCATGCTTGCCTTCATTGCTCAGACCTCTGAGTATAGAAGTTGGGATGTCATGTTTAGGTTGTACAGGACATTGGTGAGGACTTTTCTGGAGCACTGTGTACAGTTCTGGTCACCCTGCTATAGGAAGGATATTATTAAGCAAGAGAGAGCTTAAAAAAGATTTACCAGGATGTTGCTGCGAATGGAAGGTTTGAGTTATAAGGAGAGGCTGGATGGGCTGACACTTTTCTCACTGGAGCATAGGAGGTTGAGGGGTGACCTTATAGAGGTTTATAAGATCATGAGGGGCATAGAATCCCTACGGTTTGGAAGCAGGCCATTTGGCCCATTGAGTCAGCACTGACCCTCCAATAAGTATCCCACCCAGACCTATCCCTGTATTTCCCATGGCTAATCCACCTAGCCCACATATCCCTGGACACAATGAGACAATTTAGCATGGCCAATCCACCTAATCTGCACATCTTTGGACTATAGGAGGAAACCGGAGCATCCGAGAAAACCCACGAGGACACAGGGAGAATGTGCAAACTCCACACAGACAGTCACCCGAAGCTAGAATCAAACCAGGTTCCTAGCACCATGAGGCAGCAGTGCTAACCACTGAGCCACCGTGCTACCTGCAGAGATAAGGTGAATAGTAAAGGTTCTTTTCCCTGGGGAGGGGAATTTCAAAACTAGGGGGCATGTTTTTAAGGTGAGAGGAGAAAGATTTAAGAAGGACTTGAGGGCAACTCTTTTACACAGAGAGTGGTTAGTATGTGGAATGAACTGCCAGAAGAAGTGGTGGATGTAGGTACGGTTACAACACTTAAAAGAGACATTTTGGATAAGTGAGATAACAAGGTGTAGAGCTGGATGAACACAGCAGGCCAAGCAGCATCAGAGGAGCAGGAAAGCTGACGTTTCGGGCCTAGACCCTTCTTCAGAAAAAAAAAATTGGATATTTTGGATAAATACATGAATAGGAAAGATTTTGGAGGAATGTGGGCCAAACGCAGGCAGGTGGGACTAGTTTAGTTTGGGAACATGGTCAGTGTGGATTGAAGGGTCTGTTTCCATGCTGTATGACACTATGACTATGAATTGCCTTTAGGCTTCTATGGTGTTTCCCAGATGGATCCCCTGATCCTGCTCAGTTTCCAGGCTGGCAGAGATCTTATTTTAGCTGAATGTCATGCTCATCGTAATGAGGGAATGTTGGCTCTGCAAAAATGGAACATCTTCTCACTTGAAGCGGGGGCCAGGGCCGGATGTTCATGTTGGGGGTTACAGCTGAATCAATTCCATATGGGCCTCGAACCCCCAGCAGATCAGCATCACTGACACCATTCGATTTTCAAAAGGAGAAGCCCTAATTTCCTCCATCTGGGTGCTGCTGGCCAGGCCAGCATTTATTATCTATCTCTAATTTCCCCTTGATCTGAATAGCTTGGTAGGGCCATTTATAGGGCAGTTAAGAGTCAGCCACATTGCTGTGGGTCTGGAGTCACGTGTAGGCCATACCAGGTAAGGAATGCAGATTTCCTTCACTAAACGGGCATTAGTGAACCAGATGGGGGTTTTCCTTACGACATTAAGTTAGCTTTTTATTCCAGATTTTTAAAATTGAATTTGAAACATCTGCCCTGATGGGACTTGAACCCATGCCCCCAGAATAACAGCTTGCGGCCTATGGAATACGAATCCGATGACGCCATCATCAGGCCTCCACCTCTCCTAATTGGCCCAGTGTTGAGTTTGGTGCCCAATTAGTGGCCCTCATGATGGAGGGTGATTCTTCAAAAGCAAAGGGCAGCCATTTCCGAGCCTTCCCTTGCCCGGGAGCTATGGTTGCAGGCTGAAAAGGAGAGAGTCGGCAGCCTCAGGTCCACTACAAATCCACGCAACATCAGCCACACTATCGGGTTGAATGGTGGAGCAGGCACAATAGGTAAAATGGCCTTCACCCAGTTCCTATTGGAGACATTTCCACAAGTGCCCATCAGCTTCCGGCTTGAGCTCTCAGGCCACTTTGCTCAAGTGATGGCAACTATGTACCACTCCATGAACACTGCAGTTTGACTATTCGATTGGAACAGTTAGGTGCTTGTTTTTGAGTGCAGATTTGATGGGCTGAAGCCTCGTTCACTGTGCCATAGACCTTTTTTTGTGTTTTTATTAACACTAGATATTTTCTGCAGCAGGCACGATGAATAATGACTTCAGTTTATGTTGACAGTTCCACACTAACATGTCATCTTCCTGTTGCGAACATTGAACATTTGATTCTGTTCCTCTCCAGCCTGTTAACAAGCTCTTCAATGAGCTTAATAGCAAGTCACTTGGAGATGAGTGGGTTCTCAGCTCACCCCTACCCTCTCTTTAACAATTCCGATGACCATCGGAATTGTAGGAAGACTGACTGGCCTTGCCGAGTGCTCTCTTTTTGGAACTCCCTGCAGCTAAACACGAAAATCTTCCCCACCCCGCCCCCAACACCTACCCTGTGTCAGCAACAAGCATTGATCCCCAGCTCATATGCAGCATCACCTACAGCAAAGCTCGCTCCATTACTAACCAAGTTGAGAGGCCACTTTCTCTACCACATAGCTCGATGTGAGGTGCTCATGTCAGTGCTGAATTACAGGCAACTATATGCACATGGCCCTTGGTTGCTGCATTGAGTTTGATCCAAATTCAGGAACCAGTGGAGAGCTTTCAACTGGCCAGTCTGAGATAGCAAGGACTGCCAATGCTGGAGTCAGAGATAACACAGTATGGAGCTGGAGGAACACAGCATGCCAGGCAGCATCAGAGGGACAGGAAAGTTGATGTCTTGGGTCAGGACCGTTCTTGGCCGTTTCTGTGCTCCTCCAGCTCTACACTGTGTTGTCCATGTCAACTGGTCAATCTGACTGGATTTGAACCCACAATCTCAAGCCAATGAGCCTGGTGTTAAAATTGGCCATTTCTTGACAGATGTGTGAAAAGGCAGGGAATTGAGGGATATAAACCAAGCAGAGGCAAAATGTTTTTAGTTTGGAAATGCATTGTGTGTCAACACAGTGTTGGTGGGCCAAAGAGCCTGGTCTTATGCTCCACTGTTCTTTGTATTCTTTGTACATGTGCCCCTAAAAAGCTCCCTAAAGTCAACCACATATTCTCATTTTACACGTTCACTGTTGTAACCAATAAAAGGACAGTACTTTGCCAATAGTTTCATCCCAAAAGCCTCCACCAGGTTATTTGAAAAGACAGAGGCCTCGAGAAGCACTGATGAAAAAAACCAAGGTCAGCCTCAGAAGCATGGATTAATTTGTTTCTTGTTGTCTGACTGCTTTTCTTCCTTTGCTGCAGATCTACGTCTATGAGCAGGAGAATTTCCAGGGCAGATTCATGGAATTTTCCACCGAGTGCATGAACCTGTGCGATCACAACTTCGATAGAGTGGGCAGCGTCCGTGTGGAGTGTGGACCGTAAGTTACCCGCGAATGAACTCAAATGCTGTTAGGGCAGTGAGCAAAGGAGACAGGAATCGACTCATGGCCAAGCAGTGTGTCTTTAATAGGTGTTTCACCCAACTCCAAACAGCCAGGTACAGGCTTCCTCTAGACTCTTATTAAAATCTAGGTCGGTGAAGGGATGAAATAGGAACATAGGAACAGGAGTTGGCTATTCAGCCCCTCGAGCCTGTACCATCATTCAATGAGATCATGGCTGATCTGTGGCCTAACTCAAATACTTGCCTTTGGCACATATTTCTTCATACCTTTTGCTAAACAAATTAACCTCAGATTTAAATTAACAACTGATCCAGCATCCATTGCATCCATTTGTGGAAGAAAGTTCCCAAACATTTACCACCCTTGGTGTGTAGAAATGCTTCCTAACATCCCTCTTGAACAGTCTGGCCCTAATTCTCAGACTATGCCCCCTAGTTCTGGAATCTCCAACCAAAGGAAATAGTTTCTCTTTATCTACCCTGTCATTTCCTGTTAATATTTGAAGACTTTGATCAGATGGCCCCTTAACCTTCCAAATTCTAGAGAAAACAGGTCTCTCTCATCTCTCCTCATAGCTTAATGGAGTGCTTTGGAATTTCACTTTGCAGCCTCAATATGCAGTTCCTCAGGGTGGGCAAAGTCAGAAATCACATGACACCAGGTTATAGTCCAATAGGTTTATTTGGAATCACTCAAGCTTTCAGAGCGCAGCCCCTTCGTCAGGCGCAGTGAGAGAGCAGGGCACACAAACACAGAGTTCATAGGCAGAGAGATCAAAAGATCACACAACTGGTATGAGTGGAGTGTCAGATAATAAGTCTCTGCCGGTGACCAAGAGGGTTAGACGGTGTGTAAAGTGTTTATAAAGACAATGTCAGTGCTGTGCTGTCGTGACACTCAGGCAGAGCCATGGGAATATACAAAATATGACACCTCAGCTCAGACATTGAATTGTAGGTGTGGGGGTTTGTTCAGAATCCGTCTCCGAGTTTTAATCTGAAATCAGGCTGGTTTTTATTCCAAAAGCTGGAATTTATAAGATGTTACACTGACTGACTGTGACTACAAATTGTGCATTTTTTGAACAAAATAGAATATATCTGCAAATAAACAAACATCTTGCATGAAATAATTCACCCCATCGATTTGTGTGTGTGTGTGTGTGTGTGTGTGTGTGTGTGTGTGTGCGTGTGTGCGTGTGTGCGCTTGAGAGAGAGAGTGTGTGTGTGCTTGAGAGACAGTGTGTGAGTGCAAGAGAGTATATGTGTGTGAGAGAGAGTGTGTGAGAGAGAGGGTCTGTGTGAGAGTGTGTTTGTGTGAGACAGTGTAATAAGTAATTTAAAACCGTGATAATAGACATTCAATCCCTTAATCGCTGTCTATGTCAGGTGTCAGTAGAAACCAGGTACTTCCCCGAAAGAAACGTCTTAATATCTCGGAGATGTCTAACTCACAGAGGCTCGGGGCAATTTGTTCCCTCAAGATTGCAGTCTGTGTCTCCTGTGGGACACGCACAGACATGGGGAAGAGAGCAGGCTGGGCCCAACTGTGTTGCACTTTCACAAGAGCCACCACCGACTCAATGGGCTGGATGGCCCCCTTTTATACTGTACTCCACTTTGATTCTGTGTATCCTCATCAACACAACATGGGAAACAGATGAAAATGTGGGTGTTTGACCGAGGCTGGGAATGGCAGGCGGGTTGAAGATGGAACATTACCAGCGAACGCATGGTGGTTCATCACCTCCACCCTGACCTGGGGCAACTTTCTAGAGCCAGGATTGGAGGGGACGAGTGGCGATGACAGACCTACCCCACCTGAACACAGTGGATCATCTATTAAACTAATGAATGGCCTGTCCACAGCGTGAGTGGGGCTTCCAGCAGGCCAATGGTCCAATCCTGCAGGCAGCCGCTGGAGATGGCCTGTAGGTGGCAGAACAGCTGGGTCCCAAGACCCTCCTTACCTGCTTGTGGGTGGCAGGAGGTGAGGGCTGCTCTGTAGAGAGTTCCCAAACCAACCCCCCAAAAAAAAATTGGCCTGCATACACACCCACCAACAATCACACCCCAGCTCAGTTTGCAGCCTGAGTGGAAGAGCCATTTTTAAAAAAAAAACTTAGAGAGATTCTTGGAGGGTGGTTCTTTCCATCTTGAAGCTCCCAGTCCCTCAGTCACTTGTTGTGAGCCCCTGCTGACTTAGTAATTAAGCTCTGGCTCACCCTCCATCTTCGAGTCTGCAATCCCTACTTGGATGGTAAGCCTGATGTCTGGCCATGAATTGGTCGCCCTGGGGCAAAATCACAACGAGGGATTGCATCCCTGTTGGTGCAGAGCTCCCTAATGAAGGGACTCTGGAAGACCACAGCGGTAACTCCATGCCCACTGTGCCTCTGCCACCGTCATCTATCACTTCGCTACAAGCCAGCTGGGAAAAGAATTCAGGCAACATTATCAATGAACAAACCGCTGCTTCTCAGAAAAACCCTCCCTCTGTCTTTGAGCTGATGTTAATTGTGTTCTGTCCCCATAGCTGGGTTGCCTTTGAGCAATCTAATTTACGTGGAGAGATGTTCGTCCTGGAGAAAGGAGAGTATCCACGCTGGGATTCCTGGTCCAACAGCTACAGGAGTGATCGCTTCATGTCCTTCCGACCAGTCTGCATGGTAACTTGCTCAGATGGAGCTGTTAAATACCTGGTGACTTATGTTACACCAGAGCAACCCCATCAATCAAACGTAAAATACATTTTCACTTCAGTCACCTCTTACTCACTCTCTATCAAACAGAGGGAGTGCTGGAGAAGCTCAACAGGTCTGGCAGCATCTGTGGAGAGAGAAACAGAGGTAATGTTTCGAGTCCGGTATGCCTCCTTTTCAGAAACCAAGAAGAGGTGTCACACCAGACTTGAAACATTAACTGTTTCTCTCTCTACACTTACGCTGCCAGGCCTGTTGAGAATCTCCAGCACTCCCTGTGTTGGTTTCAGATTTCCAGCATCCACAGCATTTCGCTTTTATCAACTCTGTGTGATGTTCCATGACTTTCAATTTAATTCCCATCTGAATCCTCCACTATCAACATTCTGGGGATTACTATCCTTCAGAAACTGAACTGGACCATCGTATAAATCCTTTAGCCACAAGAGCAGATCAGATGCGAGGAATACTGCAGTGAGTAGGTCACCCTCTGACTCCCCAAAGCCTGTCCACCATCGACAAGGCACAAGTCAGGAGTGTGATGGAATATGTGCCATTGCCTGGATACATGCAGCTCCAACAACAAGTGCTACATAAATGCAAGTCTTTATTTTCCATCCTTGCATCCACACGGTCTTGAAATCAAGAGTCAGTGCAATGTCTCATATTTTTCAAGGGCATCAAGACTTTAGCATTCCTTACTTCCCAGCTTTCCCTTTGTAACACAATCTAGATTTTGATTTAGATTTTATTGTCACGTGTACTCAAGTACAGCAGTATAGTCAAAAATGTATAATGCTACCACACATGGTGCCATCTTAGGTACAAAGATATCCACATGCAAAACACTTAGGTACAAAGGAGTAAATGAAACAAAGTTAAAAAAGTTAAGCATTGCCTTCATAAAACATGTAGAAAAATAAAGAAATAAGGTAATAGTTAACATTAAAGTCCTTCTTAATATAAACTGGAAAAATAAAGGAATGATATTAAACTGTTGTAACATAATAACCATCTCAATCTCCCTACTCTGAACTTTGGGCCTTGATTATTCTTTCGCAGTTTAATAAAAAAAACCTTCAGAGGTGAGATTACTGTTATGCAACACAGCATGTAATGAATTATCCATCATGGAAAAGGAAGGTCAATGTAAAATCAAAAATACATTGCTCACAATTTCTTTCATTGCTCTCAGGATGACCAGGAGCACAAAATCTGCTTGTTTGAACTTGCGGAATTCCAGGGAAATAAGATGGAGATCACTGAGGATGATGTCCCTAGCCTGTGGGCGTATGGATTCTGTGACCGTGTGGGCAGTGTGAGGGTTCCCAGTGGCACGTGAGTATCTCCACCACAAACCCATGGGCAATTCTTTCAATGAGGGCACACACCATGGAGATGGTAGGCAGGTTATCCTTGTGTACCACACCCTGAGGCGCTCCCGTGAAGAGACACTGCAAACAGAGCGAAGACCATTTGTGGCTCTGCTTGCATACGGTTGTGAGCCTGAGTTTCAAGGAGATAAGGAAAAAGCCCTGGTGCTGCTGAAAAAAACCAGCAAGTGGAGCAATTGTCACAATGCAGTCATCGCTACATGGGACAGACCTAAAGCAGGTAGTGAAGGGGACTCTCGGAGAATGCAGCAGAATATAGATAGATTGGAGAGTTGGGCGGAGAAATGGCAGATGGAGTTCAATCCAGGCAAATGCGAGCTGATGCATTTTGGAAGATCCAATTCAAGAGCGAACTATATGGTAAATGGAAAAGCCCTGGGGAAAATTGATGCACAGAGAGTCTGGGTGTTTAGGTCCATTGTACCCTGAAAGTGGCAACACAGGTCAATAGAGTGGTCAAGAAGGCATACGGCATGCTTTCATTCATCGGACGGGGTACTGAGTACAAGAGTTGGCAGGTCATGTTACAGTTGTATAGGACTTTGGTTCGACCACATTTGGAATACTGCATACAGTTCCTGTCGCCACATTATCAAAAGGATGTGAATGCTTTGGAGAGGGTGCAGAGGAGGTTCACCAGGATGTTGCCTGGTATGGAGGGCGCTAGCTATGAAGAGAGGTTGAGTAGATTAGGATTATCTACATTAGAAAGACGGAGGTTGAGGGGGAACCTGATTGAGGTCTACAAAATCGTGAAAGGTATAGACAGGGTGGATAGCAAGAAGCTTTTTCCCAGAGTGGGGGACTCAATTACTAGGAGTCACAATTTCAAGGTGAGAGGGGAAAAGGTTAAGGGAGATTTGCGTGGAAAGTTCTTTACGCAGATGGTGGTGGGTGCCTGGAACGTGTTGCCAGCGGAGGTGGTTGAGGCAGACACAATAACATCATTTAAGATGTATCTAGACAGATACATGAATGGGCAGGGAGCAGAGGGATACAGATCGTTGGAAAATAGGTGACAGGTTTAGATAGAGGATCTGAATTGGCGCAGGCTTGGAGGGCTGAAGAGCCTGTTCCTGTGCTGTAATTTTCTTTGTCCTTTGTTCTTTGTTCAGACTGAGTGACTTTTTGAAAAGCCTCTCTTTGTCCATAAGAATGTCCCTGGCTTTCCAGTCTCTTGCCATTTCTTTATGTTATCTTGCTTATATTTCTATCATGGGCTGGCTGCAGTGTGAAGCCACCCTAGTGGAACAGCACCTTGTTTTCTGTTTTGACATTGTACAGCCTTCAGGAGTTAACAGTTGACTTCAAGAACTTCAGAGTACGAACCCTGACTTCCACTTTGATAGCAACAACCCCTCTACCAGTGTCTTCTTTACATGGGGTTTGCTGTCATCATGGCTGACTTACGTTCCTCTATTCACACCTACCATTATCAACTATTTTGAGGCTATATCTCATGTCAGCACATCAGACATCTTTTCCCAGCCCTCTTCGGTCCTGAACAAGTGTCATATCTGACTCGAGACACTAACTCTGTTCCTCTCTCCACAGATGCTGCCAAACCTGCTGAGTTTCTCCAACAATCTCTGGGATTCAAGTGCAATTTTCAGTCAGGGTTGGGTAGTGATTTTCTTCCCTTACCAGTTCCCACTCCTCTCTTGACAGAGGTTGGGATACAGGTTCATAACCTGTGGCTACCCACCTGTGGGCTATTCTCCCTGAATGAATCCAAACAATGAGTATTATTGGACTCCATGGCTCTGACAGTTGAGTGTGATCTTGCCCTCATTTGTCGAAACTGGAAATCACATCTGAAACCTTCTGACCGAGCAGTGAAACCCTGCCTAAGGCTGGACAACAAGGTGCAGAGCTGGATGAACACAGCAGGCCAAGCAGCATCATAGGAGCAGAAAGGCTGACATTTCGGGCCTAGACAGACAGTTTATTTACCAGCTATAGATTTCTAAGGTTGGGGGTATTTAATGGACTGTACGTTGAATTAAGCAGCAAAGACTTTCAGAGATTTTCAAGGGTCTGTTGTAAATCCACAGTTTAGTACAAACACCTTTTCCGAAATAGTTAAAGGGAAACAAAACAGTGTGGGCTCTGGAAATTCAACATTTAAAATGAAGGAAATATTCAAAATATCATTAAAGGAGAAAATGATGCGTTCCTGCTCCCTTGGTGCCCAACAGACTCAGAACCTTGAAAGTGTCCTTGGACACCAAGTGCCCACTCTCCAAGTGCACTGGGCATAGATATAGCTGAGGGAGAGAGAGAGACAGTCAAAAATTGTGACCACCCCCACTCCTGCACAGCCAAGAACCCATCACCAAATCACCCAAATAATGAACTGAACAAACAAATTACAAACACTAAATAAAAACCGAAAGAACTGCAGAAGCTGTAAATTAGGAACAAAAACAGAAGTTGCTGGAAAAACTTAGCAGGTCTGGCAGCATCTGTGAAGGAAAAAACAGAGTTAATGTTTTGGGTCCGGTGACCCTTCCTCAGAACTGAGAATTACAAACACTGTCCATTAAGGACAGTGTGACAATACCTGACAAATCAAAACTGATGGGGAAAACAATGGAGGGAGCTTCACCAAAGTGGTGTCAGAGGGGCAGAATGATCTCTTTCTTTATTATAATTTTAGATAACCTTTCATCAAATCACCCAATTATAGAGTTTATCTCTTGTTTTTATTAAAAATTCATTTGTGGGATCATTAGCTGGGCCAGCATTTATTGCTTATTTTTAATTGGCCCTTGATCCAAGTGGATTACTAGGGCCATTTCAGAGGTGACTAAATAAAAACCGAAAGAACTGCGGATGCTGTAAATCAGGAACAAAAACAAAGTTGCTGGAAAAGCTCAGCAGGTCTGGCAGCATCTGTGTAGGAAAAAAGAGAGTTAACGTTTCGGGTCCGGTGACCCTTCCTCAGTTCTGAGCTTTTCCAGCAACTTTGTTTTTGTTCAGTGTTAACTTAATTTGGAGCTGGATTCATATGCAGGTCAGACCAGGTAAGGATGGCAGATTTCCTTCCCAAAGAGGATTAATGAACAGATGCACTTTTATGACAAATGATAGTGTTTTTGCCATATGGCCTTATATTGAGTTAAAATTTTTGCTATGGTGGGATTTGAACCCACAACCCCAGACATTAGCCAGTGGGGTGGGGTCTGGATTACTAGTCCAGTGACATTACCACTATGCTATTGCCTGACCCAAAGGCCTTTTTTTTAAATAAACCATCGCCAAATCATCCCTGTCACTAACTAAATTGATTCCAGCACCTGCAGTAATTTGCTCCTAACATTTTTCAAGCATTGTAAACAAGAGGCAGAGCAACAAAGCAGAGATATAGGAGGGTAGGAAGGGCGTGAGGGCATTGAATCAAAATGGAGTTGTAGGGGAAAATAATGCATTCCACTCCTGTAATGCCCACCTCTCTCGAAAGGCTTTAAGGGTGTGCACTGTGTGTGGCCTCAGAGAGGGAATGCAGAACCTACCTTTTAAAACTAAACCACCGTAAATTCACCTTTGCTATCAATTAAATTTCAGAATCCATGTATATTTTAGCCCCATATTTTCCCAATCAAACTGTTACAGATATTGCTACTCTGCTCAAGGGATTTGAACCCTGGTCTCCTAGCTCAGAGGAAGGGACACTATCAGTGCATCACCACAGCCAAATTCAAAAATGTAAAGTCCAAAGAGCATCTCTTGCTCTCAGTCTACTCTAGGTGTGTTCTGGTTGACTATTAAAGGGACCTGCATTTCTAACACTGACAGGGGAAGAGGGGGGTCTACGAGGATGGGATAACGAAGTGATCAATGTCATGCAACACTTGATCTGCCAAGGGGGCAGGGTTTTGGAGGGGTAACTGACGCCCGAGCTCTGATGATTTTCTTGCTCCTCATTTCAGCTGGGTTGGTTATCAATACCCTGGATACAGAGGATACCAGTACTTGTTTGAGATAGGAGATTACAGGCACTGGAATGATTGGTGTGCCCAGCAGCCCCAGATGCAGTCCATCCGCCGCCTGAGAGATGTACAGTGGCATCAGAAAGGCTCCTTCCAGCTCTCCATCCCCAAGTGAAGAAACGCTCAGAACTCCTGCAAGCTGACGTCGTTCATTTAACTCGATGGGATCATTTATCTGGAAGGCTCCAAGTATTGTTTTTAACTCGTTCTGGTCAGCTAATTTCTCTGCATTTTGCAATGTAAAGCAGATTTTTCAGAAACCAAAAGATACTTTATGATGAAAATAAAGAAATTGGATGAAGATCACTCTCTCAGCCTGGTACATGTGCGTTTGAGCATTTCCCGAAGATAATTATTTTTCCTTTCAGTTTTCCCCTCGCCTCTCCTGGAGATCTGAACTCCTATTGCAACCGGCTCCAAAAGAATATAAAGGGGTAAGAAATTGGAACAGCAGCAGGCCATTCGGCCCCTTCACTCTGCCCTGCCATTGAAGCCAATCCAAAATGGATTGGATCTTCTTCTGCATGACACCACTCCCCCGCCCTCTGCACAAATCCCTTGATTCCCTGAGAGATCAAAGAGTGATCGTTCTCCACCTTGAACATGCTCAATATTTGACCGTCGAAAGCCTTCTATGGCAGAGAATTACGATTCATAACCTTCTGAGTGAAGATGTTTCTCCTCCTGTCTAGTTCTTAAATGATGGGTCTTTAATTCTGAGGCTGTGTCTCTGTGCTCCATCGTATGGTGACCCTTCATTTATGAGCCCACAGTGGCTGCTGTCTGTGCCGAATGTGGGTCCAGGCCTGTCTATTCCCATATTTTTCACAGGAAAGTCCCTCCGTAGCTGCCCAAACGCCACCATGCTTCCCTCCCTCTCCTCGCCAAGACCTGCCAAGATCAAATGTGTCACAACTGGCTGCCAGCAAAGATCTGAAAACTAAATACTTCAGAGAGACAAATACAATTGTCTCCAGAGCATTCAATTTACTCTTTCATTATCCTGGACTTTAGACATAATGAAGCTCCAATCAGCCAGAAGTGCAGTTTGATGTTGATTTTAGTGCTGTCTTTGAATTATTTCTGTGGCTCACTGGATGACACTTTCACAGAATGGATGTGGATTTGGGTTTTGCTCCATAGACTTGAGTACAAGGTCTATGCCGACACTCTGATGGAATGCAATCGTGGTGAAAGTGCTGGTTTTTGGTTAACCTGAAGCCCTGTCTGCCAGCAGCACTGTGGGAGTTTATGCTGATGTGCCATAGTCATGTGAGCTCTGATGTACAGTTTGGAGAGCGAAGTCTTAAAGCCTACACATGGAACATAGTGTCAGACGTGGGCAGCTAAAAACGGTGTGGATTTTGGGAGCTGCAAGAGAGCCAGCTACTGCAACTAATAGCAATTCTTTTCTGTGAAAACTTCAGTCTGCAACTCTGAGTTACTGGGTGAGGTTGTATGGCTGCAAATGATTCACTGCTCGCTCCTGAGGAGATGAACTGTCTTTAGAAACCGAATTCAAGTTTCTTTCAGTCTCAGAGACAGAATTGAAAGATAGCCACAGATAAAAGAAATGTAACAAATCTATCATCAGTGCTGGGGAAAGAGTGTTGCAAGCTGTTTAAGGACATAGGAACAGGGGCTAGGCCATTCGGTCCGTCGAGCCTGCCCCACCATTCCAAACAAACATGGCAGATCAAACGCTTCAATCCCTTTTACCCATCCCATAACTATGGTAATCAGTGATCTAACAATCTCTACCTTAAAAAGACTGAATCTCCACAGTCTAACCCTTGCTTTAACATTCACAGTTCTTGTCCTATTGTATTCTGCACCTCACTGAGGAGCAGAAAATCCACACGGGAGAAATATTGAAGGTCTAATTTTGATTCCTGCGCCAATGCTTTTTACAAATGGTATATGTTCAACACCAGAGCTCTAAAAGAGAAACCTTTCAGCAGGTGGGCCAGCAGGATAGAGTACAGGGTGTCAATGTCGTTGAGGGAACCAGACAAAAGAATACGAAGTACGTCCTGTGTGGAGAAAGCTGTGCTCGAACTGCAAGAAGCTGAATCTTTCCAACACAAATCTTTCACTGGAAAGAAGCAGAGAGAGCTGAGAAAACTGGCTGCTGGAGAGATGTCGGACAATGGTTCTGACAAACCCTACAATAGGTTCACATTGTCAGATCTAAAGGGGATGAATGGTTAATGATGATAGAATGATGACAGCAAGACAGCATCGAGTGAATGTGAAATGTCAAATAGACACCACATCATGAGCTTCGCAGACCTGTAGGGAATTGCTCAACGTAGAGTAATAAGTTATAGAGGTATACAGCATGGAAACAGACCCTTCGGTCAAACTCATCTATGCAAACAGTTATCCTAAATAAATGTAGCCACATTTGCCAGCATTTGGTCCATATCCCTCTAAACCCTTCCAATTCATATACCCATCCAGGTGCCTTTTAAATGTTGTAATTGTACCAGCCTCCACCACTTCTTCTGGCAGCTCATTTCATACATGCACCACCCTCTGTGTGAAAATGTTGCCCCATAGGTCCCTTTTAAATCTTCCCCTCTCACCTTAAACCTATGCCCTTTAGTTTTGGACCCCCTCGCCCCAGGGAAAAAGACCTTGTCTATTTACCCTATCCATGCACCTCATGATTTTATAAAGTCGCCTCTTGGCCTCTGACGTTCCAGGGAAAATAGCCCTGGCCTATTCAGCCTTTCCCTACAGCTCAACCCTGGCAAAATCCTTGTAAATCTTTTCTGAACCCTTTCAAGTTTCACAACATCCTTCTGAGAGCATGGAGAATAGAATTGCACGCAGTATTCCAAAAGTGGCCTAACTAAGGCCCTGTATAGTGGCACCATGACCTCCCAACTCAATGCACTGACCAATAAAGGCAAGCATACCAAACACTTTCTTCGCTATCCTGTCTACCTGCGACTCCACTTTCAAGGATCTATAAACCTCTACTCCAAGGTCTCTTTGTTCAGCAACACTCCCCAGGACCTTACCATTAAGTGTATAAGTCCTGCCCTGATTTGTCTTTACAAAATGCAGCACCTCACATTTATCTAAGTTAAACTCCATCTGCCACTCCATGGCCCATTGGCTCATCTGATCAAGATCCGGTTGTACTCTGAGTAATCTTCTTCGCTGTCCGCTATACTTCAGTTTTGGTGTCGTCTGCAAACTTACTAATCATACCTCCTATGTGACCCAATAATGAAGCCATCGAAGATAAATTTGAGGCTCTATAATAGAATGCTACTCACCCCAAGAGGATAAATTAAGCTGGGAGTCCAATGCAATAAGGAAAATGAAAATGTGGAGTTAGAGATGGCAGATATTAAGCAAAATCCACTCATCTCAGCCGAAGTGAGTTTAAAGCTTGCATTAATAACCCTATGCATATCAAAAAAAGATTTGAAGTGTTTCACAGGGAACTAGGCCATTGACTGCTGAACTAATCCTAAAAAATTACAAAGATAGTCTTCCACATGTCTCTCTGGGGAATGTCACCTCAAGGTAGATGAAAGTGTGAGACCAGTGGAGCACCTTCCGAAGGGAATTTCACCTGTAAGACAGATTGGAGGAGCTGGAAAAGCAGGGAGGAATCAACAAAGTCCCTACATCCTAGCTTCCAGAACTTAGGTCATCTCTCTTTATCGTGGTCTTGCCACCAGTAACTAACAGAGCCACTCCTCTACCTTTATCTAGTTCCCTGTCCTTCTTGAGTGTCCTGTTCCCTTCAAAAATCCAGCCCTAATCCAAATCATCCTGCAGCCATGTCTCTTTAATGGTTATCCGAACATAATAATTTATTTCTAATTAGGATCTCTGTTTCACTCTAAATGTTACATACTTTCAAGTCCAGAGTTTTCACAGTTTTATCCTTTTGCTCTTTTTGTAAATTCTTGTTTTATCTGTTGAGTTAGTCTTAGATCAATACTGTCTTATATATTCCTTCCATGGTCTGCTTATCATTTCTTGTATTAATACCTTCCTCTTTTGCCACGTCTCTATTCTTTGATTTGCCATATCTTCCCAAATTAGATCTCTTGCTCCCATGATTAAAATCTTCTCTCCTTCCTGAAATAACTCCATGGAGACCGGGATCCTGATACCAAGTCACTCTTTATTTATACATGCGCAGTCCAATGTCTCTGACCAGCCAGCTCAGAGCCAGTTTCTTCAGTGAGGAGAATCCCTGAGAGTCCTGTTTATATCAGTCAGCCAGGGATCCCTGATTGGCTCAGGTTAACAGCCCCAATCAGGGATCTCATACTCAATGAGATCTAACAGGCCAACATCTTTTCAATCATTACACTTCCCTCGTTATGTCATCAGCACTAACATCATGACCAGCAAAGTTTAGGTGCAGGCTGTCTCAGTAATACAGAGCCCACTTTTCCTAGTACTGGTGCCAGTGTCCCATAAAATGGAACTCATGCCAGTCTTCAGTTACATATTCATCTCCTGAATATGATTTGCACTCTGCCAATTTGCATGTGGCTTGGCTATTACTGTATAGAATATGATCTATAAAGGTTCTGCCTCTTACTTTAGCACATAGCTCCTCATGCTGAATCCGGAGAAATGTCTTCTTTGTTCAGCCTATGTTGTTGGTACCTACATTGGTGGTGGTGACTGGATTGTCCCCCACCCACTTCAAGCACCTCTCCAGACCTCTGTAGATGTCCTGCACCCTGGCACTGGCCAGCTCGCAACAGCTGCCTGGACTCACATTCTTTGCTGCAGAGAACTGTGCCAAGCTGCCTCACTGTATTGCTTTAATACCATTATATTCTGTATTGCTACACGCACTTAGAGTCATAAAGTCACACAGCACAGAAACAGGCCGTTCGCCCCAAATTGTCCATGCCAACCAGGTTTCCTAAACTGAACTAGTCCCATTTGACTGCGTTTGGCCCATATTACCCCTAACTCTAAATGATTTACTGTACTATGGTCCTGTGATCAGTTAGCTCATCCCACCTATGGTCCTCACCATCAAGCCAAAAGAACCTCAAAGGTGTTGGACAAATGCAAAAGCTGAGGCTCCCGAATTTTTGTCCTCTGGACCCCCCTGTCTGTTTCACTTGCAAGTCAC